TTTATTGAATGATACTATTTTATAGGATTGTTGACAGAGCTGGAGAAACAGACTTGAGACTAAACTCCAAGAATAGTAAAGGCCCAAATCATGCCAGACAACTGTAAGAAATTGTAGCCAGCACAACTTCTGTTACTACCACCAAGTACCAGGCCCAGATTTACTTTGTAGCCATCATTACTGCTTTCTGCACTGATGTCACGCCTGCATCACGAAATTGATCTGGTAGTCAGTGCCAGACACCAACTAAACGGAAGCTCCATGAAATGTTTATTTTCTCCAAATTAAAGCCTCATGCACATCATGTGCTTACTCTGCAGCAATGACAGAGCCTAAGAATTTGGGTTCTGAGTTTCACATCAGAGGGCACAACTCATAACACTGGAATTTCTCCCAAATATACTAAGGATGGCAATCACATATAGAACAAATGCCTGCAAGTTATTTTGAGCCAAATATCCAATTTTTTCTACATTTTTCTGCTGGTTTTAAATTAATAATATTGTATTTAGATTGAGAGCCCTTTAGGGCCTAAAATTGGAAAATATGTTTCAGACATTGCAGTATCACTTGAGCTTAAAGATAAAGAGCATAAATTCTCAAGTCAGGCTGTCCAGACTCGAATTTCAGCTTTGCCTCTTACTAGTTGTGTGACTTGGTTATATTAATTGTCTCATTTAAGTTTTGTACCAAACGGAGATGGTTAAATACCTACTTCATAGGATCATCTTGGGCATCAAATAAACAGCACCAGACATCAAACAAACACTGTGCGTTTTAGTGATTTTTTTTTTTGCAATCTTTTTCCCCAAGGTATTCTTTGTCCTGCTTGAAATGTTTCCATTTACTTCTACCCTTAACTTCTGCCCTTAGCCAGTTTTCAGTCTAAGCTGTCAACTTCTGTTCTATTTCACAACTCTGCACCTTAGACATTTGCTTCTGATGCGGAACTCTGTTAAATGCTATCTAAAATGATTTGTAAACTGTGGGCTGATTTTTCAGTACACCAATACATAGCATCGGTGCATAGGTTAAAAACTCTCTCTGAGAATAAGATATAATAGAAAGATGTTAAAGGAAGTGATTCTGAACGTCTTTCCAACATGAAGAGCTGCATACCATAATGACACTGACTAAACATTTCATAGTTGTTTATCCATATGCTAAATACTTCAAATACATTATATCATATAAGTTTTGCAATCAGATTTTGATACTATTGTTTAGGAAGTGAGTATTAAAACTCTCTTTTGGATTTGAGAAAAATGAAGCTCATAATATTTGACTTCCATAGTGTGGGTATCCTATTGCTGCTATAACAAATGACCACTAACTGAATGACTTGACCCAAATGTATTATCTTCCAGTGCAGAAGTCTGAAATTGATCCTTTAATTCCATTGAAAATTATTTTCACTTTTTAAAAGTTAATTCCATATTGTTTTCTCATTTGACCCCTCTCTTGGTCAGGGTTCTTAGCTGAAAGCAACACAATCCTTTTTAACTAACTTAAGCAGCAAAAGAATTTATTGAATGATACTAACTACTTTATAGAACCACTAAATCATTGGGTTAAAACCAAGGTGACAGCAGGGCTTTGTTCTCCATGTTCAGGCTCTTGGGAAGAATCTATTTCTTGCCTTTTCCAGCTTCTAGAGGCCACCCACATTACTTGGCTGATGAACTTTTTCCATCTTGAAAGCCAGAACACTGCCATTCCTCCAGTTATCTCACTCTGTTTTCCTTTTCCATTTAATCCACATTAGAACTCTAGTGATTACGTTGGACCCAGCAGGATAATCTGGGATAATCTTCCTATCTCAAGGTCAACTGATTTGTTATCTTATCTGCAACCTAAATGTAAGGTAGCACATTCACAGATTCCTGGGATTAGGTTGTGGGCCTCTACTGGGAGCATTACTCTGCCTATGACAAATTTTTTTAATTTGTTATTCCCCATCTTTCACAGTCCAACTACATTTTTTTAAAAAAATTTTTAGATTTAGCTTGAATTTATTTATTTGTTTTTCTTTTATTATTTGCTTATTTTTATTGATATTTAATAGTTCATTTTTGGTGCATATGTGATTTTTTTATCTATATACAATGTGCAATGATCAAATCAAGGTAATTGACTTATTCATCAACTCAAACATTTATCTTTTCTTTGCATTGGGGATATTACAAATCTTTTACCTATTTTGATATATACAATAAATTATTGTTAGCAATAATTTTCCTACTGTGCTGTCAAATGCTAGAACTTATTCCCTCTATTTAACTGTATTTTTGTTCCTTTTAACCAACTTTTTGTCCCTTCTCCTCCCTTGTCTTCCCAGCTCCTGGTAACCACCATTCTACTCTCCACCTTTCATAAGATCCACTTTTTTAGCTCCCAAATATGAGTGAGAAAAATTTGTCTTTCTGTGCCTGACTTATTTCACTTGACATAATGACCGCCAGTTCCATCTATGTCACTGCAAATGACAGAATTTCATTCTTTTTTAATATTGCATTGTGTTTATATACAATTTTCTTCATCCTTTCATCCATTGATAGACATTTAGGTTGATTCCATATCTTGGCTATTGTGCATAGTGCTGCAATAAACACGTGTTTGTTACTTATACCAATTTGTTTTCTTTTGGATATATATCCAGCAGTAGAATTCTTAGTTCATATGGTAGTTCTTTTGGTTTTTTAGGAACTCTCATATTGTTTTCCATCATGGCTGCACTACTTTACAATCCTACCGAGAGCGTATAAACATTCTTCTTTCTCCACATCCTTGTCAGCATGTTATTTTTGTCTTTTTGATATTTAATAACAGCTATTCTAGCTGAGGTGAGATGATATCTCATTGTATTTTGATTTACCTTTCTCTGAACGTGTGTGATGTTGAGGGTTGTTTGAATATACCTGTTGTCCATTTGTATGCCTTCTTTTGAGAAATACCTATTCTGGTCTTTCACCCATTTTTAAATCAGATTATTATTTTTATTATTATTACTATTTTGCTATTGAGTTATGTGAGTTCTTATTTATCTATCTAGATTTCTATATCTCTTTCTCCCTTTTTTTTTTCTTTTGAGACAGAGTCTTGCTTGTCGCCCAGGCTGAAGTGCAGTGGCGTGATCTCAGCTCACTGCAACCTCCCCCTCCTGGGTTCAAGCGATTCTCATGCCTCAGCCTTCCACATAGCTGGGATTACTGGTGCATGCCACCACGCCTGGCTAATTTTTTATAGTTTTAGGAGGAAAGGTGCTTCACCATGTTGGCCAGGCTGGTCTCAAACTCCTGGCCTCAACAAATTCACCGGCCTCAGCCTACCGAAGTGCTGGGATTACAGGTGTGAGCCACCATGCCCAGTCTCTCTTCCTCTTTACCTTGTACAGACATAGTACTTTGCAGTACTTACACTTATCATCACACACTGGACTATTCTAGGCTATGTAACTAAACCTGGATCTAGCTAGGTACTATATAAAAATACCCTCAGTTTTCTCTAGATCAGAATAAAATTAGTTCCAACGATAGCCCTACTCTGATTCTGAAAACTGAGTGTTAAGAAACTTGTACCTTCCTATGATCCCCCATCTTCTTTCTAGTACCTAAGCATTTACCCAATACCTCTGAAAGCAAGTCTACCCAATTTGAGACTTTTGTAACTTGACTCATTTCACCATTAGCCTAACCTAAAGATCATCATTCTCACAAAAACTACATTGCAGAAAATACCAGATGATTCATGCAAATATCAAGTTTACTTATCCCTCTACTCCCTTAGCAGTTAGTATAGGGCTTGGCATGGAGTATGTGCTCAAAAGAGTTCATGAAATAGTTATTCTAAATCTTCTTAAAATAAATCAAATTATATTTAATATTTTCTGAGTTCCTTTATTAAGAAAAGCTTAAAATCTTTACAGTTCAGTTTTATGCCCAAATTTTACATAAATTTTATGGTATGTCTAATGCACAAAATAGGAAGGCATTGTTAGCAAATTAATTCAAATATTTTAAAAATATGACATAATGCCTTACAAGACTCCTAATGTGGAATACAAATGAAAGTTAAAAAAAACTTTTATGTGCTAGGTGCTGTGGCTCACGACTATAATCCCAGGACTCTGGGAGGCCGAGGCAGGCAGATCACCTAAGGTCAGAAGTTTGAGACCAGCCTGGCCAACATGGTGAAACCCCGTCTCTACTAAAAATACAAAAATTAGCCAGGTGTGGTGGTGCGTGCACCTGTAATCCCAGCTACTTGGGTGGCTGAGGCAGGAGAATCGCTTCAACCCAGGAAGCGGTGGTTGCAGTAAGCTGAGATTGCACCACTGCACTCCAATCTAGTCAGTAGAGCGAGACTACATCTCAAAAAAAAAAAAAAACAACTTTTTATAAACTTTGTGATTTTCAAATTTATTTCAAATTTAATACCCGCCAAAAAGAATCTTTTTTAAAAAAAATCTACCAATAATAGAAAATATAAACACATCTGAATTTTTAATTATCAGGTTCCTATGTATTACATTTTTAGTCTTTATATATTATAATCCATACTGTCTGAGGAATATAGTGTGATTATTTGGGTTTCTAAATAAGAGATTTTAACCAAGGATATTTTCTTTGCTAAACCTTAGTGATGCCTCCTTCATTGCATCATGAACCTGAGTGGCTTTCCAAACAATACTGAAGTCCCAATTCTACTGACTAACACATAAATTATGTTTTTCTCTTCCTTGTGGATTTATTTGGATTTATAAAAGTAAATCTCAATCTGTACAGCTACCCATGGCTTTCCTCAGAACATTCCCAAATCTTAAAATCATGATTATTGATATCCTAACTTATAGAAGAAAAACTAGATTATATACAAAAAATAAAGTAAGTCTTTAATACAAAGCAACACTTTTCAGTGTATCATATCTAAAACTGCAATAATCTGGACACGGGCTATCTAAAGGTAGAGTTACTAGTTGGCCATTTGTTATCCCCTTTAAGAACACCATCCCCCTCTTTCCCTTCGGCGCGCCACTGAAGATCCTGGTTACTGGTATTGTAAGAACAAGCCATACCCAAAGTCTCGCTTCTGCCGAGGTGTCCCTGATGTCAAGATTCGCATCTTTGACCTAGGGCGGAAGAAGGCAAAAGTGGATGAGTTTCTTGCTCTGTGGCCACATGGTTTCAGATGAATATGGCAGCTGTCCTGTGAAGGCCTGGAGGCTGCCCGAATTTGTGCCAATAAGCACATGGTAAAAAGTTGCGGCAAGGATGGCTTCCATAATCCGGGTGCGGCTCCACCCCTTCCACGTCATCCGCATCAACAAGATGTTGTCCTGTGCTGGGGCTGACAGGCTCCAAACAGGCATGCGAGGTGCTTTTGGAAAGCCCCAGGGCGCTGTGGCCAGGGTTGCATTGGTCAAGTTATCATGTCCATCCGCACCAAGCTACAGAACAAGGAGCATGTGATTGAGGCCCTGCGCAGGGCCAAGTTCAAGTTTCCTGGCCGCCAGAAGATCCACATCTCAAAGAAGTGGGGTTTCACCAAGTTCAATGCTGATGAATTTGAAGACATGGTGGCTGAAAAGCGGCTCATCCCGGATGGCTGTGGGGTCAAGTACATCCCCAGTCGTGGTCCTCTGGACAAATGGCGGGCCCTGCACTCATGAGGGCCTCCAATATGCTGCCCCCCTCTTAATACTCACCAATAAATTCTACTTCCTGTACACCTAAAAAAAAAAAAAAAAAAAACCCATCCCCAATCTTTGATTTCATACTTCTTGCCATCAAACAATTAGTTCTTTGTGGTTTTCAAAGCTTCTTTAACTTATCTTCTACACTGTCCCTGTGCTCTCTTTCTTGCATAAAGCTCGCCAACTTGTTCCTGTGTCTTTTAGATGGGTGGGTAACCTGATGTAATAACTTAATTGGTGCCAGTGTGATAATGGTGATTATGATTTAATGGAGTAGGTTTCACATATAATGCAATTATAATACTTAAGCATTTAATGTCATAACCCCATAGGTTTATTAATTGTGAAATTTTCAAGTATTAGGTCAAGACAGTAGTGAATATTTTGAGACAACCAGGTACTTCTGTCATACCGTAATGCAATAAGCTGCTTACTCAAGTCCATAATTACAAAATTGTCATCCCATTCTTGCATGACTATTGAAAAGAAACCTTAAAGCATACCAAAACATCGCTTTTTTTCATATTATATGGATCCTTAGAACATATATATTATATACAACATATATTATATTAACATATATACAACATATATGTTATAGATTTATTATATATAATATATTAGCATATATACATATATTAACATATATACAACAGATAACATATATTATATACAACATATATAATGTATAACATATGAGCTAGGACACATATATTCTCTTATTAATCAATAGCACATGGCTTAATTCTAAATTGCTTCTGTTTCTCACTCTACACTAGAACCTTCCATTTATTGTTTTATAAATCTTTGGATTGAATTTCCTTCCTTCCTTCCTTCCTTCCTTCCTTCCTTCCTTCCTTCCTTTCTCCCTTCCTTCCTTCCTTCCCTCCCTCCCTCTCTCCCTCTTTCTTTCTCTTTCTTTCTTTCTTTCTTTTTTTCTTTCTTTCTTTCTTTCTTTCCTTCCTTCCTTCCTTCCTTCCTTCCTTCCTTCCTTCCTTCCTTCTCTCTCTCTCTCTCTCTCTCTCTCTCTCTCTCTATTTCATTCTTTCTCTTTTTTGAGACGAAGTTTCACATTGTCCAGGCTGGAGTGCAATGGCACAATCTCGGCTCACTGCAACCTCCACCTCCCAGGTTCAAGTGATTCTCCTGCCTCAGCCTCGTAAGTAGCTGGGATTACAGACGCTCGCCACCATGCCTGGCTACTTTTTAGTATTTTTCTTAGAGTTTCACCATGTTGGCCAGCTGATCTTGAACTCCTGACCTCAGGTGATCCACCAGCCTCGACCTCCCAAAGGGCTGGAATTACAGACGTTAGCCACCTTGCCCAGCCGCATTTTCTTAATTGTATCTTTTGGTGAAAGTTTAAATAATATTCTCCATAATTCATTACTTATTTAAATTCTTACTTTTATTCTGCAACAAAACACTTGATAATTCATAAGATAAATCTATAAAGACACCACCCAGGGATTTACAGCTAAATGAAGATGAGATGGCCACAAAGAGTAGACAGGCAAAGATGAGTACTCTTTGCTTTATACTAAAAGTTAAAAACTTTAATTTCCAAGGTTATCATAAGTTTATAGTCTTAGAAAACTCATCAAAAACAGTTTGATCCAATTTTATAGAAATCATAATATATTGGAAATGTCATTTAAATGACAGCATAGTTTTTTAAGAAAAATCAAAGTGAAGCTGAATCTTCAACAAATACCTTCAAATAATATTATCATGTACAAAATAATGGGGTGACAACATTGTAGAAAATAATTTATAATAATAAATTAATAAAATAATAAATATAATAAAAGTAATCTATTATATAGAAAAATAATTTATATGTCATGTGATTAACCACTATGTTTTTAATTCCAAAAATCCACCATGTCTTTAAGAGACAAGATTAGTAAAATGTTAATAATTATTAAAACCAGGTGATGGGTTAATAAAGTTGATTAAATTAGTCTCTATTTTTGCATATATTTAAACTTTTATAATAAAGCATTTAAACATAAAGAAAGATATATAGATTATAATTACTGAAATATATAGTCTCAAAAGATGATATTTAGTAGGTATCAATGATAGTTCATTAACTCTCCCCTGAATCAGTAGGCAAATTTTTATCTACTTAGCTTACAGTAAATTCATCTTTGGAAAAAAAATTAGTGGATTACAAGAGGAAATATCAACCAAACCTGGGAAAGTAAACTAAAGAGGAATGAGAACAGAATAATTCAATGAAAATTCTATTGTCATATAATCCTGATGATATATTATAAAGGTTAGTAAAACGATTGGCCAACATCTATTTTTATAGAGCTAATATTACAGGTATATTCTACGATAGAAGCAAATAAGACAGTAAAAGAGAGAAAAGGTCTCAAGATTTAGAAAAGAAATTATAGTTAAGAAGCTAAAAGAATGTAGAAGCTCTGATGCAGGTAGGAAACCCATATCCAATATGGACACAAGAGTTTGAAATGGTGAATAAAACATACAAGGCCCAAGGATAAGCATTGATAACTGAATAATACTTTTGTCTTAATGCACATTCCACCACTACATCTCCAGCACTCCCTTTCCTTCTCCCACTGCAAGTGAGTAAAAATCCATTATCAAGACTATTCAGTTCCTTAAACTAAGAATATTGGGGTATTTTGAGAGACAGTAGAGAGTGTGGCTAAATGTACATACTCTAGAGCCAGATGTACTCTCTAGCTATAGCACCTTCCTTACCTGTAAGACAGAGGTAACAGTCCTATTCACTTATTCCTGTTATTACACAGTTTATTGAAATGATGTGATGTTTGATCAGTCCTTAGCCAGTTGGATTGCATAGAAAACTTCAAAGAAAGTAGCCCTTTTCTGTAACCACCTGGAATTTAAAATTTACCCAGAACTTTCAATAGTTTTAAATACAGAGAATTATTCCATACCAAAGAAAAGCTGGGGCATGGAAGTTGTATACTTTCATGAACACATTTTTCTGTATTTTAAACAAGTAAGGAGCTTAAAAGATAATTTGAGAAAATGAGACATCTGGCCTTACCTCTTGATCTCTAGAAAACCTCAGTATAAAATAGGCTGAAAAAATAAGGGAGACTTTTTTCAAGCAGTTCGTATTTGCCACAATTAAACACTGCTGAGGGTAAAGTGATGGCCTTTCAAAGAAAGAATTCACTTACTTCCCACAGCTTCAGCCTCCGTACAGTGAAATGTCCATAAAAGAAGAAAATAAAGAAGGTGAGTTTTCCACTTAGCTGAGAAATAAAGATCAACAGAGTGATGGTGTGGTAAGTGGTAGAACCATCACTGGATAAGATGTTCAGCAAAACATGTCCTAAATCCATTTTGCCTCTAAGTACAGGATCTTACCAAGTTCACCCTATTTTTCCAAACTTTTAGATTGTCGGTTTTGTGTGGGGATTGAATTATATTAGCTCCCAAATCCCAGCACTAAAATTATGCAGCTCAAATCCTCACAATTCTCGTTTGGTAACCTAGAGGCTTTTGTAAATTTCCTTCACGTTTCAAATTTTGTTTTTTGCTTCAGACCACACTCTTGATCTAATATTTTAAGATTACCTTAGAGGAATGTCACAAGTAGACTAGACTTTAAAGAGACATTTGATGAAGTGTCTCATTATTTTCCTGTGAATGAAAGAGACACATGAGCTGCCTAATACTACAGTATGTGGATTTATATTTTTTCTATCAACTATACCAAAAGAATAATAATTGATTGATGATTGGTTCATTAATTACTTCATTAGTTAATAGATTGCAGTCTTTATAAATAGCAGTTTATAGTTATATTCCACAGAATTTCTGATCATGTCTCTTCCCTACCCAATGTTTTATCATTCAACTTCATTTACATAAGATAGTATATTCAACAAATACAAAGATTTGCTGGAACGGAAGGCACAGTAAGATATTTCACAGGATAAAATTAAAAGTAGATGTCAACAGAGTAAATCAAAGTGAAATTTAATAGAGTTAAACAGTAAATGTTCTAAATACCAGGATTAAATTCCATGAAGCTACAGCTTTTTTAAAAAGTCACAAAGTAGAATAAGAAAAAATGACTTTCAGAAAGTTAGTGTAAAGAAAGCTCTCTGGTTTTCATTGGCTGCCTGCTTAGTTTGAGGTGACCTCATGATATGGTGAATAAGCAGACATCGTTTCTCCGAACTACCTTGACAGAAGTGTGGTGACCAGAACTAGGTAGAGATGGGCCTACTATATTCTGTGCTACTCATAAGTCACCTATCGTATCACAAATTAGCTCTCGGTACCACACTCTAGTAGGAAAATATATCATCAAAAGATATTCAAAGTAGAGGGCAAAGGTGGAGAAGAATATTTTTTTAAATTAATTATGAAAAACAACTGAAGTTTGAATTTCATATAAAATCATGATTCACAAAATATTATTCTTCCTTTGATTTTTTCCAACAATTTTAAATATAAAAATCATTCCTAGTTTGTCGATTGTATAAAATCAGGCAGCAAACTGGATTTATCCTATGGCCTATCGTTTGCTAATCTCTGATCTAGAGCAGCACTCTTTTTTCATTGGACCTAAATCAAGGCATCTACAGGACTGCATTTTTTTCTAAAGGCTCTAGAGCAGCATCTGTTTGCTTACTTTTGCCAGTTTTTGCAGGCCATCTATTTCTTTGCTCCTGACCTCACCTCTATCCATTTTCAAAGCCACCAACATTCCACTTATCTGCCCATTCTTTCATAGTCACATCTCCCTCTGATCACAGTCAGGAAAGGTTTTCTGGTATTAGACACTTTAGACACATGTAATTACATTGGGGCAACCCAGATAATCCAATATAATTTCCCATATCAGAATGAATATCCAACAGAAAAATTATTACATAAGGAGACGATCTACCACACTGATTTTTGTGTGGATGCAAATTAAAACATGAGGCACCACTTTATACACATCACTTTGACAAAAACTAGAGATACCACCAAATGTTGGTGAGATTATGGAGAAATAGGAATCTTGTGCATTGTGGCAGGCATGAAGAGCAA